GTCCCCTTTTCCTTCAGTATCTACAGAATCTATTTCAAAAAGCTGTTTAGTCAGAGTCCTCTCCAGTTTCTTGTAATCCCTGTCGGTAGACAGGCCACTGAAAATCACCACCTGCTGTTCAATATCTCTGACTTCTTTCTGTATTTCTTGCAGCCTTTTGATGGAAGGGTGTTGGTTACCCATATCCATTATCTTATTTCCTCCAGTTCCAACTGAGCTACAAATAAAGCAAGAATAAGAACTATGACAAAATTATGTCAGACGCTGACTGACATATTTCATAATACTACCTTTAACAACTTTTATAAAGCCTCAAGTCACTTTAATAAACTAATTTGAGCTAAAAAGCTGCAGAGACTTTATTTGCTGGTGTAAGTTTAAAAAAAAAAAAAGGAGTGAACCACTTAACTTCAAAACATACAGTATTTCCCTGTTCTTTTGTGCATCTATTTCTAATGTTGTCTGCAAGCTTCTTCCTATTAAATGATATGCACTAAGACTGTCAAGCAATTAAAAAAATTAATCGCAATTAATCGCACAATTAAAAAAGGTTTCAGAGTAGCAGCCGTGTTAGTCTGTATCTGAAAAAAGAAAAGGAGAACTTGTGGCACCTTAGAGACTAACAAATTTATTTGAGCATAAGCTGTAGCTCACGAAAGCTTATGCTTAAATAAATTTGTTAGTCTCTAAGGTGCCACAAGTACTCCTTTTCTTTTTACAATTAAAAAAATTAATCACATTCTTAAATAATAGAATACTATTTATTTAAATATTTTGATGTTTTCTACATTTTCAAATATATCGATTTCAATTATAACAGAATACAAAGTGTACAGTGCTCACTTTATATTTTTAATACAAATATTTTCACTGTAAAAAAAAAAGAAACAGTATTTTTCAATTCACCTAATACAAGTACTAACTATAGTGCAATCTCTTTCTCATGAAAGATGAACTTACAAATGTAGAATTATGTACAAAAAAACCTGCATTCAAAAACAAAATAGAAAACTTTAGAGCCTACAAGTCCACTCAGTCCTATTTCTTGTTCAGCCAATCACCCAGACAAACAAGTTTGTTTACATTTGCAGGAGATAATGCTGCCCACTTCTTGTTCGCAGTTTTATTTGAAAGTGAGAACAGGTGTTCATATAGCACTGTTGTAGCAGGGGTGCAAGATATTTACATGCCAGATGCACTAAAGGTTCATATTTCCCTTCATGCTTCAACCACCATTCCAGGGGACATGTGTCCATTCTGATGACGGGTTCCGCTCAATAACAATTCAAAGCAGTCCGGACTGATGCATGTTCATTTTCATCATCTGAGTCAGATGCCACCAGCAGAAGGTTGATTTTCTTTTTTGGTGGTTTGGGTTCTTTAGTTTCCGCATCAGAGTGTTGCTCTTTTAAGACTTCTGAAAACATGCTCCACACCTCATCCCTCTCAAATTTTGAAAGGCACTTCAGATTCTTAAATCTTGGGTCAAGTGCTGTAGTTATCTTTAGAAATCACACATTAGTACCTTCTTTGCGTTTTGCCAAATCCGCAGCGAAAGTGTTCTTAAAATGAACACGTGTGCTGAGTCATCATCTGAGATTACTATAACATGAAATATATGGCAGAAGGCAGGTAAAATAGAGCCGGAGACATATAATTCTCCCCCAAGGAGTTCAGTCAAATTTAATTAATGCATTTAAAAAAAAAAAAAAAAAAACTAAACAAGCATCGTCAGCATGGAAGCATATCCTCTGGAATGGTGACCAAAGCATGAAGGGGCATACGAATGTTTAGCATATCTGGCATGTAAATACCTTGCAATGCTGGCTACAAAAGTCCCATGCGAATGCCTGTTCTCACTTTCTGGTGACATTGTACATAAGAAGTGGGAAGCAAAATTGTTTTGTTTCTGAGTGCAGTTTAGAGATGAAAGTAAGCCAGTAAGGGCCGGTACAGTGTACCAGTAAGAAAGTGGCTGCCAGTATGGGCCGGTACACAGCCAACATTAAAGCAGCAGCAGCCAGAGCCCCACACCCTTTAAATCACCGCTGGAACCCCAGCTGGTGTGGGCCAGGCAACACTGGCTGGGGGAGTCTAGCCCCAGCCCCGCCCCTTCTGCTCAAGGCCTTGCCCCTTCTGGGGGCCCAGAACCACCCTCCCACCTTGCCCAGGACCCCGGCCACCCTGCAAACCAGCCTGCAAAATTACTTTCACCCCGGTGCAGTTATGTAACCAAAAAAAAAAAAAAAAAAATTCTACATTTGTAAGTTGCATTTTAAGGCTAAAGAAATTGCACTACAGTACTTGTACGAGGTGAATTGAAAAATACAGTTTCTTTTATCATTTTAACAGTGCAAATATTTGTAATCTAATAAGTAAGCAGTGCACACTTTGTATTCTGTGTTGTTATTGAAATCAATACATTTGAAAATGCAGAAAACATCCAAAATATTTAATAATTTTCAATCGGTGTGCTATTAACAGTGCAATTAAAACTTGAGTTAATAGCATGAGTTAAATGTGATTAATCGACAGCCCTAATATGCACTTTTGAATTTTCACCGATAGAAGTCTTTGTTCACTTCCTCAGCTGAAACAATTACAAGCAATGCAGAACAAATTAGTTCCTTCAGTAATGAAGACAATTAAGGAGGCAATTTCCAATCCTTAATCTTTTAGTGCAATATTTATACCCACCCCCCCAACTGGTAAATAAATACACCCTTCCCAATCATTTGCATTATTCAGAACAGGGATTATAAACTGCTGAGACAACCAACATTGTCAACCTTTTACCTACATCTATCTACCACCAGCAAGCCTCACCAGCCTCCTCCACCATCCGGTGCCCTTAACGCGCAGCCACCTACCCCTGACAATCTACACCTGTTTCTACCACACCCAGCGCCCTTCATCCCCCTCCCCTCCACCGCCCCCGCCCTTCACCTGCGCCCACCTGACCCTGGCACCCCTCTCCTGCCTCATTCAGTGCCCTTCACGCCCCGCCCCACCACTCCCGGCAGCCCTTCACTAATAACTTTCACTCTTCACCCTCCCCCGCCCTTACAGCGCCACCTGTCCTCAAGCAGCATCCATAACCATCCCCAGCCGGCACTGCGACCCCTCTATGCAGGGGGGGAGTGTGAGATGGCCCCTAGTCCCAACACACCGGGATGACCACATGGCGCCTACCCCAGCCAACAGCCTTGGGGGAAGACAGTCCCCTGGAGCAGGCCTCGATCCCCCCGGAACCCGGACTCGCTACATCCCTGCAGGAGGGGCCGGGATACGCCGGGCCGCGCCGCGCCACCCCGCCGCCGGCAGGTGATGACTTCACAATGGGGGCGCCCCGGGGGAACGGAGAGCGAGTGCCGGGGCCCAGAGCCGGCTCCCCCTTAGCGGGGACAGCAGCGAGAGAGAGCCCGGCCCTGGGGCCACAGGTGGTTGCGAATCCCCACCGTGGAGACCCCACCTCCCCCTCTCCTCAGTCCCCCCCGGCAGCCCGGAACCCCTTCCCTACCAGCCCCCCGCCCCCCTTCCCTACCAGCCCCCCTCCTCCACGTCCCCGCCCCCCTTCCCTACCAGCCCCCCTCCTCCACGCCCCCCGTCCCCCAGGCCCCCTTCCCTACCACCCTCCCTCCTCCACGTCCCCCGCCTACCAGCCCCCCTCCTCCACGCCCCCCGCCCCCCTTCCCTACCACCCTCCCTCCTCCACGCCCCCCGCCGCCCAGGCCCCCTTCCCCTACCAGCCCTCCTCCTCCACGCCCCCCGCCCCCCAGGCCTCCTTCCCTACCAGCCCTCCTCCTCCACGCCCCCCGCCCCCCAGGCCTCCTTCCCTACCAGCCCTCCTCCTCCACGCCCCCCAGGCCCCCTTCCCTACCACCCTCCCTCCTCCACGCCCCCCGCCGCCCAGGCCCCCTTCCCTACCAGCCCTCCTCCTCCACGCCCCCCGCCCCCCAGGCCTCCTTCCCTACCAGCCCTCCTCCTCCACGCCCCCCGCCCCCCAGGCCCCCTTCCCTACCAGCCCTCCTCCTCCACGCCCCCCAGGCCCCCTTCCCTACCACCCTCCCTCCTCCACGCCCCCCGCCCCCGTTCCCTACCACCCTCCCTCCTCCACGCCCCCCCGCCGCCCAGGCCCCCTTCCCCTACCAGCCCTCCTCCTCCACGCCCCCCGCCCCCCAGGCCCCCTTCCCTACCAGCCCTCCTCCTCCACGCCCCCCGCCCCCCAGGCCCCCTTCCCTACCAGCCCTCCTCCTCCACGCCCCCCGCCCCCCAGGCCCCCTTCCCTACCAGCCCTCCTCCTCCACGCCCCCCGCCCCCGTTCCCTACCACCCTCCCTCCTCCACGCTCCCCGCCCCCCAGGCCCCCTTCCCTACCACCCTCCCTCCTCCACGCCCCCCGCCCCCGTTCCCTACCACCCTCCCTCCTCCACGCCCCCCGCCGCCCAGGCCCCCTTCCCTACCACCCTCCCTCCTCCACGCCCCCCGCCGCCCAGGCCCCCTTCCCTACCACCCTCCCTCCTCCACGCCCCCCGCCGGCAGCCCAGCCCCCTTGTCATCCGCTTCCCCCACTCTCCAGACAGCCCAGGTCTCCGACCTCTCACCTCAGGCAGCCTCTGCTCTTCCCCGCGACGTCCGCCCCCTCACGCGGCTCAGCAGACGCTATTCTCCCGCACACAGAACATGGGCCGGCTACAGAGTGCCCCCCCCCCTCCCCGCCGGCCTCTCACCTGCGGGCCGCCGGCGGCTGTCAGCAGCCCGCAGGCCAAACGGCGGCTAACCCGAGGACCCCAATCCCCGCCCTCACGAGGCGGGGGCCGCAGGGGGGAGGGAGCGAAGGGCAGCCCGAGCTGCGCAGCCGAGAGACCGATCGAGACGCTCTATCCCCCGCTGCCGCCGCCCAGAGGCCGCAGCTGCGCCGCCTGCCGCACCGCAGGGAGAAGTTTTGGGCGGCCCTTCTCCTTGCGACAGGGCCGTAAAGCCGCCGCCAGCGGGGAGGGGAGGGGCGCGATGGCGGCGGCCGCGCCGAGAGCCGGCCTGCGCGCGTGGACCAGGGCGCGCCGCTGCTTCTCCCGAGCCGGCGGCGGCGCGGGGCTCCTGGCCGCGGGCAGGGGCCACGAGCCGGAGAGCCGGGTAAACCGCCAGAGGGGGCGCAGGGTGACGGCGGGGAAGGTCTCCGCTGGGAGCCCGGCCCCGTGTTGGGAGGGAGGGAGAGCCCGCCCCCGCCGGGGTTGTGTTGCTGCGTGGGGGGGTCCAGAGGCAGAGCGGGGCGCCACAACTCTGTAGCCCGCCTCCGGGAGGGTGGACTCCACCCCTGCCTCAGGCTCCAGACAGGGGCCGCTGGACCTGCGTGGAGCCCCATGGTTTTGGGTACAGGTTTGAGACCCCTGCTGGGTGCAGCTGGGCGCTGGGTGTCAGGACTGGTGCGCTTTGTTCCCGTCGGGGGGAGCAGGGCGTCTCCCTCTCTGCCAGCACCTAATTAACTCCTGAGAGGATTTTACTTGCATTTCCTGTTGAACTGTTTGAAGAGATTTTTGTAAAACGGTCGGTAGTATTTGGACCGCACTTCTCAAGAAACGAAACATTTTCCAAGGGTCACGGCAAGTCTCGTAAAATCTCATTAGCCGCTTTTTAATTGCATGTGGCTCTGGATTAGCAAATAAGTACATGTGTTGCGTAGGAAACAGTAAGGTTTGGCGGAGCCAGCAAGTGATTTGGAATCAGACCCTCTGCTGCTGCTTCTGATTGATTTCTTTTATGGCCTTGGCAAGTTATGTTGCTCTTCTGTGCCTTGTTTTCTCCAAGGATAATATTTACCTGCCTCTTGGGCTGATGTGGGGATTAATATTTGGAGATTTTTTTCATAAGAACTATCTAAATGTCAAGTGTTAGTGTTTGGGGTTTAAAAAAATCTAGCGGGTCTTGAACTATTATACATACTGTTTTATATTTAGGCTGGTTAGAATTCAACTTTTTTTAATATATAATTTTGATGGATAATATTGATTATTTTTAAACATTTTTTTTCTCTTTTTCTCTATTTAAATTTTCAGAGTTGCAGGAAATTAAATGGCGGGGGGCAGTCCAACAACAATAATGTAATGATAGTAGATCCTGAGATTCAAAAAATTAAACCTTTATTACTATTAAAACACAAATTGTGAACATCATGTCAAAATAACAGTCTTCAAATTATGTTAAGAGCTGTTATAAAAAAGGTGGTGATCAGTTGTTCTCCCTGCTACTGAAGGTAGGCCAAGAAGCAGTCTGTTTAATCTGTAGCAAGGTAGATTTACGTTATATATTAGGAAAAACTTTCTAACTATGAGATTAGTTAAGTACTGGAATAGGCTTCCAAATGAGGTTGTAGAATGCTGCTTGTTGTTGTTTTTTTGAGAACAGGTTAGACAAACACAGGGATGGTCTAGATTGGGGTTCTCAAAATTCATTGCATTGTGACCCTCTTCTGACAACAAAAATTATGACACCACACCCGCAAGGGGACTGAAGCCTGAGCCCACCCGAGCTCTGCTGGCCCAGGTGTGGCAGCAGGGTCAAAGCCAAAGCCCATGGGCAGTGAGTGGAGTCCCATCCCCCACCCCGGGCTAGCCCCCAGCTCCGCCCCTTCTGCCCATGCCCTCCCTGTGGCCAGCGGAGCCCTGAGACCCTTATGTGCAGCCACCACCCCATGACCAGAGCTACAAGCCCCCCCACCTGTCCAGAGGAGTCCCGGGCCAGCGGAAGCCCCGAGCCGAGCCTCCCACTGCCTGGAGGAGCCCTGGCCGAGCTGGCTGAAGCCCTGAGCCGAGCCTTCCTCTGCTGGGAGGAGCCCAAGATTGGCCACAGCCGTGCTTCCTCTCCCCAGACCTGACCTGCCCTGCCCAGGGGAAAAGCGCCAGTAGAACAGTCGTTTTCAAAGTTTGGGTCGCGACCCAAAACGCAAGGCACTGGGTCGCCTTGCTCAGCACCCAGGAATCCTGGCGGCCGGACAGTAAAAACTAGTAGTGCCTACCTGTTCTGACACCGTGCTGTACCCCAAAAGCGGCCAGTAGCAGGTCTGGCTCGTAGGCAGGGGGTCTGCACCCACCAATGGGAGCTGGGGGGTGTGGGGGCAGTGCCTGCAGGCAAGAGCCGCTTGTGCGCCTCTGCGTAGGAGCCGGACCTACTGGTTGCTTCTGTGGCACAGCGTTGTCCACTGTGTCAGGACAGGTGGGAAGCCTGCCTCTGAACCCTAGCAGCACTGCTGACCAGGAGCCGCCAGAGGTAAGCCCGTGCCCCAACCCCATGTCTCTTCCCCAGATCTGAGGCCCCCCCGGCAGAGCCCCTTCCTGCACTCCAACCCCATCATCCTCCGCTCCACCCCGGCCCAGGGCCCTGACCCCCTCCCAAACGCCACCTCCCTCCCCCAGCCCAGAGCCCCCTCATTCCTGACCCCACCCTGCAGCCCTCACCCCTGTGCCCCAACCCTCTGCCCCAGCCCTGAGCCCCCTCCCACACCCCAAACCCCTCATCCCCAGCTCTGTTGGGTCGCAGGCATCAACAATTTTCTTCAATTGGGTCGACAGAAAAAAAGTTTGAAAACCACTGCTGTAGAAGACACCTTTGATATATCCCATGCAGGTTTGATATATCCAGCTGCCCTGGAACCTGCATGAGGCATAATAATAGTAAAAACTTCGCTGCCAAACCCCGCAACTGGGGGTTTGATGGCTGTTATACCCCACTGGCCTGGGCCGGGAGAGGGGGGCATGTCCAAGGGCTTCAGCCCCGGGCAGAGGGCCTGTAACTTGACCCCTACTGCGCAGGGCGGAAGCCCTTGGGTTTGGGCTTTGGCCTGGGGTGGTGGGGCTCAGGCTTTGGCTCTGGGCCCCAGCAAATCTAAGCCAGCCTTGGCGACCCCATTAAAATGGGGTCCTGACCCACAGTTTGAGAACTGCTGGTCTAGATAATGGTTAGTCCTGCCTCAGTTCAAGGGTCTGGAATAGATTACTTTGAGGTCCCTTCCAGCCCTATGTTTCTATGGTTCTGTGAAAATAGACAAAGTAAATATCCTTAAATCAAGCTGTAATACATTCTCAAGTAACATTTTTCTTACTTTGCTTATCTGTAAATTTCAATTATTGATGGAAATATTTTTGTACTGATTTGTGCCTATATGGTGAAAGCAATATTTACTGACATTTACCAGTAAATATCTAATCTTTCCAAGCCTATTTATATTGTAGTCCAAGTCTAGACTGTTAATTACTACATTATCATACAAGTAGAGGCTAGAGTTTGAGAATCTTTACACAATCTGAATTTCCTCAGTATAGCAAAATTAGTGAAGTTCTAAATGTTGATTCCACAAGACCTGTATTTAGAATTTTTTTTCTAAGCACGGTGCAGGGGTTACCTGTTCACTCAGCTCTCTAACTAAAGAACATCAGATTAGGGACCCAATCTTGTAAATATTTATACATGCACTTAACTTTGCACTGTGCATAGTCCCACAGCAATCAGTGAGAGTATTCATGAAGTGTGAACCATGTATGGGCGCTAGTTTACCTGCCTACGAGATACAACTAAGATTAATTATAAATGCAAAAATAAGAATGTGGTGGTGTTTAATAACTTTGTCCCTTTTGAAGCTTAACTTTAAAAATGCTGGTTGCATACAATAATTTATATTTCTATAGTGCCTTGCTTTTCATCTTAGAGTGCTTTACATACTTCAGAATGCTTCTCTGACATAAATAAATATCACCCTGATTTTGTAGATTGGGAAACTGTGGTACAGAGAAGGTAGGTTACTTGTCCAAACTCAAAAAGTGAGTCATTAACAGAATATGTTAGTAGTCCGGAGTTCTCCCTACTCTGCCCTCAGCAAACCACTGGTTAGTACCTCCTTTGTGCACTCTTACAGGCATACACAAGCAAAGAATAAACTGCAAGGAAAACTGCAAATGAAAATATATACGAGGCCTGTACCTAATAATCTCCTATGCTACCATCTAATATATTAACAAGACAGAAGATCCATGACATGAAGAAGTGAAAGTGTGATCTAAGTGTTTCTTTAGTCTGTGTCTGTGATTGTATCCCAGTCACTTGTGCTTTTCTGACAGATTGATAAATATATCATAAAAGTGAATTACTGATGTAAACTTAAATCAGGCTAACCTGAACTCTCACAGCTTCTGTGTTTTCATTATTGTGTTTTAAGGTTAGACTCAGCTGTGTGAAACATTTTATTATATTTTTCTAAGAAACACTATGCAAACTTTGTTTAAAAATGTTTTTTTGTTTTTTTAGGTTTCAAGTTTCTGCCCTCCAGCACATTCTTGCAATGATTGGATTGGTCCTCCTGACAGACATTCAAACCTCCGACCAATAGTATTTCATATTCCTAAAAATGAATCGCCACTGGGACGAAGACTTAGGGAATTTAGACAGGAAACTCAAGTTTGGAACCAACAATTCTGGGCAAGCCAGAATGTGTCATTCAGAAAGGTGAGCATGTAGATGAGGTACTAAGCCACTTGGTGGTGCTGAGTTTCCTTAAGAATTTGCAGCATTAGCAGCTGATAGAAAACATGATTCTGTTCAGCTACATGAAAGATTTTTCACAATTGCATTATATAGTGACATTGAACCATGATCATTTTGTATTATATAGCTGTTCAGAATACCTGAGAGCACTACAACTTATTATTTTACCTTTATAAACTATTAGTAAATGGTGTGGTTTTGAAATTATTTATCCCTTGCTTTAAACTGATTTTATAGCTGATTTTAATATAATAGTAGAGCTTTCTTTTTTGCCATTAAATAGGCTTATCAATATTGAGGAGTGCATATAATGAGCTGCAAAGCTAAAAAGTGTGTGTATTTTACTGTTGCTTGAGGATGTATAAAGAGATTCTCCAAACTTTTTGCTGCTTATTTTTTACATTAAAAATACACGGTGGTGACTGTTCTCTTTTCTGGAGGATCTGGAATGTGAGATTAAAGCTGGTTACTGAAAACTGAGCTACTGTTCTAACTCCAGTGGCATAGATGCAATTACTGAGGGGGAAATGAGGGACATATCTCCAGTGATGAGCTGCCAAAATCTTAACAACTGGTTCCCTCCTCACCCCACGAGGAGGTTGTGGCCCACCCCCAGACCTCCCGTCCACCCCCCCTCCCCTGTCCCCTGACTGCCCCCAGAACTGGGCAGGAGGGTCTCGTGGGCCACCGTAGTGGGTGTCCACCCCACCCCTAAGAGCCAGAGGGACCTGCTGGGAGGCGAGGTGGGGAGTCCTGGCAGTGCTTACCTGGGGCAGCTCCCAGGAAGCATCTGGCAGGTCCCTCTGGCTCCTAGTGGCAGGGGTGTGTAGCTGGGGGGGGAGCAGCTGGTCCCCCCACTGATCACATCAAAAGTGGCGCCTTAGGCGCTGACTCCGTGAGTGCTCCGGGGCTGGAGCACCCACGGGGAAAATTTGGTGGGTGCAGAGCCCCCACCGGCAGCTCCGCGCCTGGCCTCGGCTCACCTCACCTCTGCTCCGCCTCCTCCCCTGAACGTGCTGCCCTGCTCTGCTTCTCCACCCCTGGCTTCCCGCAAATCAGCTGTTCGCGTGGGAAGCCTGGGAGGGCTGAGAAGCAAGCGGTGGCTTCGTGCTCAGGCCCAGGGAGGCGGAGGTGAGGTGGGGCGGGAGCGGGACCGACTCCTCTATTCACCTCCAGCTGTGATGAAAACTATTTCTTGTTTGTTTGTTTGTTTTTTTAAAAAGGTAGAAGACATTTTTTTTAAACTAAAATAAAAGCAGCCAATTTTTAAAATTCTGTTAAGTAACTATGAATTTATTTTAAAAGGCTTAAGATCTTTCTGTGAATTCAGCCGTAATGTGCATAAGGCAGGAAGACCTCAAAAGCTGATATGTTGCCTTATTTAAAACTTACAATGTAACGTCCTGATTCTGAAAACATGTAAGCGTATGCATACCTTTACTCACATGAGTAGTACTTACTTCAGTGGGACTGTTTTCATGAATAAAATTATACATTCTTAAGAGTTTACAGGATTGGGTCTAAATGATTGTTTCCTGAAGAGGATCCAGTTAACTGATTATTGGTTTAAGTAGAAAACACTGTAGTCATTATCTGGTTTATAAATATTGCTCATATTCTTGAAACTATTGATCGGTAAGATAGCTGACTTCAAGAATTAAATATATTTAATTATAATAAATGTATTTTAGGGAAAAGAAGAATTCATTTACTCAAGACTGAAGGCTAAAGGTCTGGAAATGAAAGATGAAACAGGTTAGTGATTTGTTTTTAAAATTTAAAATGCTTTCTGAAAGGGAGGGTTCTGGTTAGCTTTAAGTTTTCACTGGATAGGTTAAACTCTCCTAAAAAAAAATTAAGAGCAAATCCTGCCACGGCCTTCATGCAGAGCATCACTTGGTAGTACTGCCAATGCAGTTCTGTAGCACAACAAGGCAGGGTTGGTCAGGGTTTGAAAGGCTGTGCAGGGGTGTGGTAGACCGCTCATCTTTACAGTAGCTCTTTGCACAGTGGTGCCTGTGGGGTCAGAGGACCTGCTCTTGCATAGCTCCTCCTATCATTGCCCTCCACCATTCCCCAGGGGTGGGGGTATGCTGTGAGGCTAGAGCAGAGGTGGGCAAACTACGGCCTGTGGGACTGTCCTGCCCATCCCCTGAGCTCCTGGCCGGGGAGGCGAGCCCCCAGCCCCTCCCCTGCAGCCGTGTGGGCAGCGTTGCTTGCGCCCGCCCACGTCCCAGGCTTTCCAATAAGACTGTCCTGCTGTTCTGAGCAGCATGGAAGGGGGTCCGGGGGTTGGATAAGGGGCAGGAGGTGTTGGAGGGTAGTTGGGGTTAGGGGGCGGTTGAATGAGGTGGAGGTTCGGGGGCGGGCAGTCAGGGAGCAGGGGGGGTTGGATTGGGGGTTGGGGGGTTCCTGGGGGGGATGACAGGGAGCAGGTGCGTTGGATCACAGGTGGGGTCCTGGGGGGGGGGGCAGTTAGGGATGGGGATCCTGGGAGGGGGTGGTCAGGGGACAAGGAGTGGCAGGGGGGGTTGGATGGGTTGAGGGGGCTGTCAGGGGCCGGGGGTGTGGATAGGGGTCAGGGAGCAGGGGGGGTTGGATAGGGGGTGGGGTCCTGGCGGGGGTGGTTAGGGGCAGGGAGTCCTGGGTGGGGGCAGTAAGGGGACAAGGAGTGGGGGGGTTGGGGGGGTTGGGGAGGTTGGATGGGTTGGGGGTTCTGAGGGGGGCAGTCAGAGGGTGGGAAGTGGGAGGGGGCGGATAGGGGGCGGGAGCCAGGCTGTTTGCAGAGGCACAGCCTTCCCTACCCGGCCCTCCATACCGTTTCACAACCCCGATGTGGCCCTCGGGCCATAAAGTTTGCCCACCCCGGGATAGAGGCTCTTGCAGCCTTAGGGGCTGCATTAGCTTCAGTGTAGCAACTCCATAACTATTCTGTGTGTAAGGGGAGGATTTCTTCTTCCCTCTTGCACACCATCAACCCAGTGAGCTAGTTGATTTCAGTTTTGGAGAGTTTGTCCTTAAGTGCATGTTATGCTTGGGTTGATGTTTCTATGCTAACAGACACGTTCTCAGGCTCTTGCTCCAGTCCCTGAGGTTTATACAATTCATATAGTACAATAGAACTTCAGAGTTACAAACATCAAAGTTACGAACTGACTAGTCAACCACACATTGGAATCAAGGAACAGCAGAGACCAAATAAAGTACAGTGCTTTGTTTAAACTACTTTAAAAAAAAAAAAAGTCACAAGGTAAGGAAACTTTCTGTGCTTGTTTCATTTAAATTACGATGGTTAAAAGCAGCATTTTTCTTCATAGTAAAGTTTCAAAGCTATATGAAGTCAATATTCAGTTGTAAACTTTTGAAAGAACAATCATAACGTTTTGGTCAGAGTTACCAAAATTTTAGAGTTACAAATAGCCTCCATTCCTGAGGTTGTTCATAATTCTAAGGTTCTACTGTATACATCCTTGAAGAGGGAGCCAACTTTAGAGGAAAGAGCAGCTGCTCACCAAGCTTCCTGGCCTCAACACAGTTACTGTAGAATGGCCGACTCTCAAACTTGTGAGATGTAACTAAAAATAAGACATTCATAATGCAGTGGATCTTTACAGCATGACAGTAAGTGGTTTGTTCGTGTCTGAAAAGGATAAATGTATAGTTTAAGGACAGAAGGGACCATTAGGTCATTAGTGTGACCTCCTGTATACCACAGGCCATTAAACTTCACCCAGTTACACCTCTGTTGATCTCAATAACTTGTGTTTAATAAACCATCTAATTAAATTCTGTTACAAGAAACAAGGAGGGTAATCTTGCATTGCCTTGTTGTTTTTCGCTTTGTTTTTATTGGTTTATTCAGAATATAGAAGTAACAGGGATGCATCCGATGAAGTGAGCTGTAGCTCATGAAAGCTTATGCTCAAATAAATTTGTTAGTCTCTAAGGTGCCACAAGTACTCCTTTTCTTTTTGCGGATACAGACTAACACGGCTGCTACTCTGAAACCAGTAAATGTAGACATTCCTTGGAACTCCTCCACAAGTGTAGTTGCATTGGTTACACGTGTTGGAGCAAACATTTTTCTATGCCATAGGTCAATCACAGTGAAGGATACTGCAGAACCAACATAAGACTTAAGTCTGTCCACAGTTTGTTTGGAAGTTGCCATTAAAGTCTCAGGCTACTGAGTGCAGTAGAATTTGTACATTAGTCATATAGTTATTTTCTTTTTAAGGTTATAATTGAATCTGTATCACGCTGTCACCCGTCACTTCAATCCCAGAGAGGAGTTTGAGGGAATATTGGGTGTAGTCTGCTATGGGAAAGAACCTGAGATTAATTATCAATTATAAGAATTATAATAGCATCCAAAACTCTGACCTTTTTTGCACTCCTCTGTAGAAAGAATCCTTTTCCTTGCATGTTCTGGTACTTTTGACCCAACACACCTTGTCCCTTTGCTTTTATTTTTCTTGTTGCTTCCACCAGTTTTCTTCTGCACCAGGTTATCTACTAGATGGTTAGTAAATTTGGCATCTCGGAACATGTAAATATTGGTGTAGGTTACTTAGCAGGAAACAGAATTGCAGTATTGAGTCCCAGCACTTGAAATGCCTACTTAGCCATTGCCAAGTTTTTCCTCCTAGCTTGAGGGCAGGGCTTAATACTAGGAAGAACAGGATTTTTGAGCTGTTTTAAACAGTTTCTTTGATTCTGGTTAGCCTTTAAAATCCTGAAGACTAAATATGGATATTCAAGAACTTAATGACTGCTTTACTGTTTCTCTTTCTTTTAATGGGGATCCATTAGTGTTTTACAATATTTATTTTTTAATCAAGCTCAAAACAAGAAAGTGTTAAAGGGTTTAATGGGTTATAAGTTTCAAGATCAGCCATGTTTATATCCACTGTAACAGCCCATCCTCTTCCCCTGTAGTTTAACATTCCTGCTTTGTATTTGTTTTTGTTTTTTAATTTTTAAGCTGTTTCAGACTTTGAGGCAGCAGAGCCTTGGCAGACTTAAAAAATAAAATCATCTCCATAAGAGGAGTTTAATAGGGACTGCATACTTTACTTGCCTACCTCCAAAAATCTAAATGCTTCAGATTTTAAAAGAAAATAAAAAGTGCCTTCATATTGATGGGTTTCTTGCCAATAATAAAAGGTAGTTTTGAATTGCTCATTTTCAATTTTTAAATTGAGATTTAAATACAGTACTGTATGTTGTAATATTACATTTGCCTTACTATTATTACTGTCTGATGTGGACATGTCCAAGGCCTATATATTATTATCTGCTTTATATTTATGTAACTACATGTGGTAAAGGAAATATCACATTATAATGACTAAATGGAAAAGCACTCAGCACAAGTAAATAAGTTTCCTTGGAATTTAAAAACTAAACCTTGAATAGAAAGTGAAGTACAATCTAATAATAGCAGATTTATGTTTCAAGTTATTACAGTAATGCCTAGAAGCCTCAAATCAGATCAGAGCCCCATCGTACTGTATAGACACAGTGACAGACAGTCCCTCCTCCCAAAGAGTTTATAATCTAAATAGACAAAACAAACAATGGGAGAAAGGGAACAGTATATGAAGCTGTGATACTAAGTGATTTGCCCAAGGTCACACACGAATTCTGTAACAAAGCAAGATTTCCTAAGTCCCCAGTTCAGTGTATTAATCACAAGAACAACCTTGATGTATTTATGTTGAAATTTATTTTCAGGTCAAAAGGTAACATTGAGTGCAGAAGAAATGGCAGATTTTTACAAGGACTTTTTAAGTAAAAATTTTAAAAAGCACATGTGTTATAACAGGTAGGTGTGGCTCTTCCTGTTGAGTAATACACATAATTCATCTAAGTGAAAGGGACACCATCAACTTAGATCGCTCTTCTGTCTGAAACTTTTTGTCTGCTGCTGTTAGAAGTAGTACCTAAGGTGGTTATTGCTGAAAGAGATTAGGAAAAAAAAATACATTTTTCTCTTAAATTTGTTTACTTTGCATGTGACAGAACTTCGTATAGTCACTTTGAGCATTTCCACTATTCATAGTTAGAGCCAGCTCCCCTGGAAATTAATCAGTCTCTCCATGGACTTAGATGGGAGCTAAATCAGCCCTCAGTCAGTTTCCCTTTTTATTGTATGGGTCTTTCACCCAACAATGGGAGAAAAAATTACAATAGGGAAATGCGATTATAAAACCAGTTAACTTTTGAAAAAATGAGTAGACTTCTAGTTGACTGTGTCCCTTTTAAACATTGAATTAAGCAGTGACAATCTGTGAATGTTTTTGCACTCAATAGAAAACTTTGCCATGTAAACTAAATATTTAGCATTTGTACTTATTCTTGTTTTTTTATTTTTGACCACTTTTACCTATAAGCTTACCAAACTCAAATTGATTAGTTTTGTTTTGTAGGGTGAGGTACTTGAAGTTGTATGGGTTTTTCTTTGCTGTATGTGAACCCAATCCAAGATCACTCCTGAGAGAGATACTTAGCATCTTTACTCTTGCATGCAGCATCTTTCTCCTCTGTTGTGCTGAACAGTATTGGACCCAAAAGTGTTAAGGTGCTACTAGAACTAGTGTTTTTTCTGCTACAACATTCTAATCTTTAATATTACACATTTACTATGAATTGTGGTTTGGAGTTATGTGTACAGTAACTTTTACCATAAGAACCATTTAAAAAAAATTTCTTAATGTTCATTAATAGAAAAACACAAAACAATAGCCTTAAAACACTGACACTCAGAAATGCTGTGGTTATTTTGAATAAGATGGCTATAGATGTAGCAAATGCATTGCCTGGTGCTTGGGAAAGCAGACCGTGTTGCTCCCTGAATTGGCCATCAGAAGGCTCACTGTAGTGAACTGTGGCTAATATTCCACCTATCAGATAAGAGTTCAGAATCTCTTCCTGAATTAGTCCTTGTTGCTATGCTGCAATCAGCTCAGCCGGCTAGAATTACATCATTTTAATTATAAAGTGTAATTGTACAGCCCTGAAGATAGCAGTGCTTATTATAGGCATTCTGATTTCTGAGGGCCTAGCTTGTAGAATCTGTTGTTCATGCATTCAGTTGTACACTCTGAGCATTGCCAGCTGGACTGGGAGTTGTGGCTGCAGTAGTGTTGAAATTTGAAAATTCATTATGCTTTTTAGTGTAGTTTAAAAATTAACTGATACTATGACTGCATTGGCTCCATGAATATGCATTTAGGAATAGTTATACTGAAAACACTAATTAGTTTTAAAAACTGGAGTAAAAGTGTAAGCAAAGGAAATAAACAGAAAATGAGATCGAAGCATATATATAATTCTCATTGTGGAAGTAAAGGGGAAAGAGAAACCATTACAATATTATTAGTGTGACCTGTTGATTTACATGCATTTTAAGAGATGTGGGGTTTTATCTTAGTTACATTTTATGTGTAGTTTGCTACTAATTAAGGCCTGATCCAGGGTCAGGCCTTTATTGTGCCAGGCACATACATAAAAGCTTTCCCAGCGAGCTCTGCCAGTTGATCCTGATCAGTAACATCACTGCTATTCCAGTGCTAAGCCTGTTTTGACCAGATCCTGCAGTGCAGTGTTTTGTGAAATAGACAGATGCCCACTGGGAATTAGAAAGAGATTTCAAATCCTTACCCTTCTCACAAATTATGTTTTGTTATGAGTTATCAAGAGGTGAAATACTAGTGCAGACTGTTTTACCCAGACCCTGAATTACTTAAAGGCATGTTTCCCCCCTCTCCCCCACCAAAAAAATGGTTAAAGGAATAGATATTATTTTTTAAAGACCATGAACTTTGCAAGGCATAATACTGGCTGAATAAAATATATATTGCATTTGTCATAATGGATCAGATAATTTGACCTTTCAAGATTGACTTGTTTTTGCCTTTGGCAGTGGTCAACTCTGCCCATCCCAATGCATGCATATACACATACACCTGGCTAATAGTACAGTGCTGTATAAGAAGGAAATTTCTCCCTGAATGCTTGATGATCAGCTTTCCCTCTGAACCATGATACTTGATTGCCCTTATCTTAACTTGCATAAGTTCAAATGTAATTGGTATAATTGGCCATAAAACTATTCAACCCTTCTAACTCTAGTAGAGTATTAAACTGGGTGCCTGCAGCCATGCATTCCATAGACTGATTACACAATGTGTGACTTCTTTTTAACCATGTACTTAATAGTAATGCTGACAAATTTTCATAGGCAAATTAGCCCTAATTAGACAGGGGAAGCAATGCTGTGAGGAAAGAAAAGGTAGGTCATAACTGAATTGTTGTGTCAATGCCTCTAGAACAGCTAATGCAATTTACCTCTTTCTTTCCCCCCCACCCCCTCTGTTTTTTCTTCTTGTACTGATTGTTTTTCTGGTGCTGGAATCTAGAGAATGGTACAAACGTAATTTTACTATCACATTCCTCATGGGACAAGTGGCCTTTGAGAGGGCTTGGAGTAGGCTTGGCTGGAAAAAGACAAAAGTTGGAAATTAACGCTCACCACGTCATACAGAATACTACAACAACACAGTAAAGCCTGTTGGAGTGACACACTGTCTGTGGTCACATTCAGACTCTGAATTACTGCCACCGCAACTACTGTTTACTTTGTATATCAGGCCACATGAATGAAAATAGCTGCCGATCTTGACTTTTGAATGTTCCAGTGTAACATGGTAATGCAAAGTATGCCCAGCCAAAAGCTATATTGGCAATTTACCAACAGTCTAAGGACGGCACATAAATTTACACAAAATGGAACAGATTGCAGCCATCCTCATCTTTAATCTGGCGGTGCAGCCCATAGAGACTATATGATCCAACATACCATACTTCTATCTTGTTCTGCATCCTGTAGTTTCCATGGGCCATATCAGTGTATAAAAGATGGAAGTGGCCATGGTCTGCACTGACTACATGGGCTACAATTTTGCCACCCTGGTATAATCATCGTAGAGGTAAGTGCAGTTTGATTATACAATGATTAAATTTAACTTAGATTTTTAAACACATTCTTACTTAAAAGGGATTCTGATTACTCTAAATAATACTTAAAATATTATATAAATTTAATACCCTTATAAATGACCAAAACAACCGAATCTTCTTAATTGATCTATTCTTGTGAAAACAAACTTGTTGACTAAGTGATTTGTCTCAGCTGTCAGAGCTCAGATGAATACATTTAAGATTTTTTAGTTGACAGTCATTTAGCAGCTATGATAGAAAGGGAGTTGAATACAGAGGGTGAAGTGTTAGTAAATGCCAATTCATGCCTGTTAATTACCCTGAAAACACTTGCTGCTCTCACCAGGTTCCTTGAGCACCCAAAAGTCCTGCTAGCATCAGAGGGATTTGGGTGCTCAAGGAATGCTGTCTCATTGGTCAGGTGTGCTATTTAAACTAATTCTTGCAATTTAATTGTACCATTTATGTATTATTTAAAAGAAATGACCTTCTACTGAGGGTGTTTCCTGCCCATTACTGAAGTTGAACAGATGTCGTTTGCTTTGGTACCTGATAAGTGGATTCTGCTGAATGGAATGTGTATGGACAAATGTAAATGTTTGAATTCCAGGAGTGATATTTTTGATACAATAGTAAAGAGCAGTAGAACTGCAAATATTTGATGGAAAACAATATATGATTCATTCTTGGATTTGAAAAAATCCACAGCAGATATATGAAGTTCTCAGAGCTAGCCAAACTTGTTACCATTCTCACCCTTCCAAGTGGTCCCCAGTGGTAGGCACCACCTCCTCCCAGTTGTTTGGCGCTCAATCACATGGCCACTGCATGCTTGACCAATTGCTTGGGATCAGCAGGGGTAGCAATCCTCTGCAGGTAGCCCATATCTCTACTAAAATCAACCAAATATACAGCCAAAATATATTTCCTCAAAACTCAAGGTGGGAATGATCACCAACACAATATTTCCTTCACATGCATGTGTGTACACACACCCTCCAGCCCTGCAAAAGTTACTTTGTGAAAACAGCGTATTTGGAGTTCTGCAGGTTAGGGGATGGGTCCGGGGAATGAGGGGGCATGGCCAAGGGACATCATCTGCTAGCATTTATTTTCATGTGGTCATACCCCCTCAAAGAAGGTGTAAAAGCCGAGGCTTAATGTTTCAGCCCTCTAGACATGTTTTGAGATCCACAGAATAATATTGCAGTACTCGGGAATCCATGAATTTGGAAGTCACAGCCCATGCAAGTAAATTATTAAACATGCAGCTTTTCTTTATCTTTCTGTAAAGATTTTTCACATAAATCCCATGTGTGGTTCCTGCATTGACCCACTAATGGCCCCATAATCTGGTCTACTTATGTCAAGGCGCCCACATAATGACTTAATGGTCTGTTGGCTAAATAATGGTCTGGCTAAATAATCTGTTAATTTTCAAGTTGTGACTATGAGCCCTGATACATATTTCAGTAATATTGTGATCTGACTTAAATCCATAAGAGAAAGTTTTGCATGTAAATCTAAATACCCAGGTAAACTCTCCTGCTTTGGATTTTTTTTTCTGTCAACACAAAAGCTGTGTCGACCTGGGTTTTGATCATTCTTTGCTCTTTCTATCTTTTAATACCAATGTAATACTGCTATCTTTCCTTGGACAAAATGGTTATGAAAGTTACATATTACATAGTAGTTTAAGCTTGGAATTGGCCCTGCTGTATATTTATTACAATATTTTGTTTGAAATGTCTTATCCTTTTCAGAATATTGTTTTTATCTTGAAATAAAGCATTAGACACGTTATGTATAATACTCAATCTTTTCATGAACTCATAGTTGCAGTAGATTTTTTTTCTACAATCCAGGTTAGGGTAGCCTTTACATTTTCTTGAATTTCAAAGAACCCAGTGCTTAAAAAAAACAAGCACAGCCCTAATAAAAGGAGTTTGTTCACATTTAGCAGAGTGGGGGAATCAACACTCAGGTTCAAAATCAAAGTACAAGCCTGGTAGAGAATTACTTTAGAGTAGCAGACACCGCTTACCCTTTCCCATCCTAAACTGGGACAAATAGATGTGGACTGTGCATGAATCTGCTGGCCTCTTGGCTGATTTGTCCATATTTACCTCTCTCCTTTGCTTTATGGAGAAATGTCAGTCTCATCTGGCAACTGCAATAAGGAACTATATGGGATATCTATAATTTTGGGGTCCGTCATTACTACTGCATTGGCCCCTAATGCATCCATGTAGTGGGATTAGAATTGAGTCTAAGATACTTACAAGGCAAAGTTTTCCAGCTGTACTTCAGCTTTTCCATTGATCTCTTGCTCAACAATAGTTGGTAGGTTAGATATACTGTCCATACTGGCGGGGAGAGAGACACCACTCGTGGGATTTCTTGGTGACTTCAACAGGACTGCTCTCATACATAAGCTTAACTTTAAGCAGGC